CACTAAGAAGAAATTCAAATCAAAGCAACCAACTATGAAAATTAGTGACGACGAGAGACCAAGAACAACAAATAATGTAAAAACAACAAAAAACTATTCCAAAGTCACTCCAAGAACACTCCAAAGATATTACGAGAAACTACGAGAACTCACTCCCCAAGAAGAATTTTCAAAAGAAATTTATGAAGTGTGCCGACACACACAGTGAGCTCTATCTATCGGGAGAACTTAGTCGAACACAATTCGTGTTCCGACAAAAGTTTCAACGCCAAAACATCGGTCAAAATTCCGGATACTGTAGGTGGAAGAAATCTCACAAAACAACCCACACCAAAAAACTCAAAGATGATCCTCCTCCGAGAATCCAAGATGAAATAAGACAGCAAGCTCAATACGTTTACATTATTGTCTACAATTTAGTGAAATGGTGTTTGTTCCCGGACAGGAAGAAAGAGACAGCAATAATAGGATGTTGTAGGCGTTGGAATTAAAGGGAACATGAACAGAAAAAAAAAACAATTGATTCAATTTGAAGAAGACTAAGCGGCGCCTTGAGAAAACCTAACTAAGAAAATAAGAGAAAATTCTAAGGAAAATACTCTGATACCATGTCAAATATACTCAATAAAAGACTTGATCCCCTTGGGTAGCTAATTCCAATAGGCGCAACAATCTAATCACTATGTTGGAGGTCGATGGGGTCACTTATGAGGATCCAAATGATATCGGGACCCATATGGTAAGTTTTTATCAGTCTTTGTATAGTGAGCAATCGAGTTGGAGGCCGTAACTGCAGAGGTTAAGACTTCTCAACTATTGAGGAGGAGGATGATAGTTGGTTAGAAAGACAATTTGGGGAGGATGAAATTAGGGAGGAGGTGTTCAGTATGAACGACGATAAGGCTCCAGGACCCGATGGATATTATTTCTCATTCTATAAGGGTTGTTGGGAAGTGGTGCGATCAGACATTGTTGACGTCCTTACCTACTTTTTTCAACGTGGAAGATTCCAACGAAACGCCAATACTACATTCATTGTGCTCAATCTTAAGAAACCGAGAGCGACTGATATTAAGGACTTCCATCCTATTAGCTTAATGAGTGGGGTTTACAAGATTATTGCGAAGATTTTGGCGAACAGATTAAAGGAGGTATTAGGAAAGGTTGTCAAAATTTCAGAATGCCTTCGTCAAAGGGGTGCCAGATTTTGAATTCCGTGCTTATAGCAAACGAATGCATTGTCTCAAGCTTGCGTTTGGAGGTCCCAGGAATGTTATGTAAACTAGATATTCAAAAGGCATATGATCATATTAATTGGAGATTTGTTTTGTATATGACCAGGAGATGTGGTTTTGGGGAGAAATGGTGCCGATGGATTCAGTTTTGTATCTCTACGGTTTCATACTCAGTTATGGTGAATGGTTCCCCGAAGGACTATTTTCGCAGTAGTAGAGGATTGAGACAAGGGGACCCTCTGTCCCCATTACTGTTTGTCATTGTTATGGAAGCTTTTAGTAGAATGCTTGAGAAGGCTGTGGGGGCAAAGTTTGATAAGGTGTTTTGCTGTCGAGCAGTTGCAAGTCTTTCATTTGCTATTTGCAGATGATACGTTGATTTTCTGTGACGCAGATGTTGAGAAATTGAGGAACTTGCGTCGTTTACTCCTATGCTTTGAAGCCGTCTCAGGATTGAAAATTAATTTGGGAAAATCTGAGGCTATCACAGTGGGAGAGGTCGACAACGTGGAAGAGTTAGCTAAGATTTTGGATTGCAGGGTGGCACAATTGCCTATCTCATATCTCGGGCTTCCTCTCGGAGCACGGTTTAAAAGTACACAGATTTGGAATGGTATTGTGGAGAGGATGGATAGGAGGTTAGCATGGTGGAAGCGTATGTACCTTTCGAAGGGAGGTCGTCTTACTCTCATAAAGTCCACCCTGTCGAATCTTCCTACTTACTTTTTGTCATTGTTTCTTATTCCTGTCGCAGTGGCAAAAAGATTATAGAGGATCCAAAGGGAGTTTCTTTGGGGAGGATTAGAAGAGGAGAGGAAGTTGCATTTGATTAACTGGCGTACGGTTTGTTCTCCAATTAGACTCGGTGGTCTCAGTTTGAGAAGTCTTGTAATGTTTAATAAGACTTTGTTGGGTAAGTGGTTGTGGCGATTTGGGGCGGAGAGGGAGAGTTTTTGAAGGAGTATTATAGGGGCAAAATATGGTGTTACGGAGGGGGATGGTGCTCAGGTGAGAGACGTGGTCCTTATGGGGGTGAGTTTGTGACGGTATATTCGGCGAGGGTGGAGCGATTTTAGGGATAGGTTGACATTTGTTGTAGGGAATGGAAATACAATCAGCTTTTGGGATGACTGTTGGTGTGGAGATCAATCGCTTAAGGTGAGATTTCCTTTTTTGTATCGGATTGTGTTGGAGCCGCATGCCACGGTAAATGATATCTTAGATATTCACAATGGGAACTCCAGTTGGAACACTGTTTTTGACCGGGGTCTGCAGGATTGGGAATTAGATGATTATGCGTTGTTTCTGACATCTCCATACGAGGCACATATCAGGGCAGGAGATAATGATAGTAACAGGTGGAGAGTGACAAGAGATGGTATTTTTTCTGTTCGCACCTATTTTCGATCTCTTTCGAGAGTTGAAGAGAGCTCATTCTCCTTGAAAATGGTATGGAAATGTAAACTACCCCCCACGAGTGGGAATACACCTTGGGAAGAGAATAAAAGAAAACAAGTTTGGGGGTGTGTGAATCTCACGAGCGAAAAATGATATATTTGACTTTTTAGGTTGGGAGTTGAACCAACTTGTGAATGGAGAGCGGTGCACTTGATTCTTCAAATACATACTCGTTTTGCATTGAATATGAGAAAATTTCATTTTGTATTATAACTTTGAAGCAGTTCATGAATTTGATATTACGTTTTCAATCATGAGCCATAAAGGCAAGCTATCTAACTAAACTTGTTTTAGGTAAGTTCGTTTATTAATTTCTTAGTTTCTTTTCCTTGTCTTATATGTTTGCTCGAGGACTAGCAAAGTATTAAGTTTGGGGATGTTTGGTGAGTGTCGTTCGCTAATTGTTTTATTGTCTCTTAAACTTGTTATTTTGATTGTCTTTAAAAGTTTTTAGGGCATTTTAACATGTGTTAATGTTTTATAAGTTACGTGAATGGCGTAAAACTTGGAGAAAATGGTGATGTTGGCACAAATTAAGGAAAAGTTGATGTTGCTTTGGTGAAACTTGATGATTGGAGACTAAATGAAAGAATTAAGTGAATAACGACAAAAAAAGATAAAATCTAAAGTTTGAAAACTCAATTGCAACTTTTCAATAATTGATTCGGACAACAAAACCATAATTGAATATTGCTAGGAGTCATCCGGATGCAATTAAAAGTCAAAAAGTTAAATATGATCAAAATATTTCACAAATTAATTTTCAACCACACAAATATGTTGCAAATTTTTAGTCGAAAATTGAAACACATTTTTGACATAGCAAACATTCGAATTGCAAAATGATTTCTGAAGCAAAGTTGTAGCTCTTTGAATTATCTTTCCAGCTCACTTTGAATCACCTCAATCAGATGTAAAAAGAGAAAGTTATGATAAAAATACTGAAGGATGCGCAGTGCTGAATTTTCTACTCGAGAGTGGGCGTCGCAGGGCCACCGTTGCTGAATTTCCACAACAACGAGGCGCCGCTGGACAACTAAGGTATTTTATTTGCGTTGGACTTCTTTTCAACCCGAATTCAACTCCAATTCCTCTTGGGATTTCAAGATGTTATAAATACCAATTAAAAGGCCCTTTTACAAGGACAATTCAACCGGGCAATTATAAAAAATTCAAGATCACAAAGGAGATTGAAGATCTACAAAAACTAATTTTTCTATTATCTCCTCTATGTTNAAACAATCAATTACAATATTAATTAATGGTAAAAACAATCTATCTATAGCTATTACAATTATAATAATATAATCGTAATTTTCGACGATCTTTGAAATCTTATTCGAGCTCCTTGACACTTTTATCCTGTGGCTTGTCTTTAGCTTAATTGGCTGCGTAAGATGTTTCACCGTCTTCGTTTAGCGGGCACTATGTGATACACTTGCAGGGGCCTTTGAAATCCTGTGTCTCTTCTAGCCGCCTGGTGTAGTTACTAGCACTCTCTCCGGCAATTTTTGTGTTAATGTCAAGGAGGAAGACAGAAAAGTGTGAGAAGCGAGTAATAGATGATTTAGGAGAATCTAGGGAAACAATTTAGTGATTTGAATCTCATAATCAATTTTTGAATTGTTCGACATTATAATATTCGTATATATATGTAAAATTTGGTATGATAATGGTACTTATTAACATAACAAATGGAAGCTTTTCCTTTAGATTAATAAGAGCATGTGAGGCTTAGCTGAAATACTAGATTTGTAGCAATTTTGTTTTTTTTTTTTTTTGTTTTTGGCAATAAGAGGGGTCTTACTGCTAAGGGAAGGCAGAATATTTGGCCAAACAGCTTCTTTCGTAGAAGAAACAATGCCAAGCTCTAAATTAATGCAAGAAAATAATGTCGTCTACTTTCAAGTTTTATGCCTAAATACTGTACATGTTTATGAATTGTAATCTCCACCGTCATCTTTTAAACCATTAGTGCTGCAACACCTTTTTGAACTTCCTTGTTTAAACATGGTATCTAGCAAAGAGCACTTCTAATGGTTGTTTCCTCTATTATGTGATCAACATGCATGATGGTTTCAGAAAAACTATGCATGTCGGTTCGACTGCTTGGAGTTGGCAGCATATCAAAGTACTCCTTAATGCTTTATTAACTTGCTCTTAAATCTTCCAAATGGAACAATGTTCTGATTACATACTGTTTTCTCTTCCCAAATGATTGTGATGCCTCGACAGAAAGTGCCATGAGAAATATTATTCGTGAGGTTGAATTTTATGGTCTTTATCCCAATACTAATGTTAGGTGTTTGTTAAGTCTTTAGCTAGTTATCAATCATAAACTTCACGAAGCAACTGTCTACCTTTTCATCTTGTACTTATTTTATAAACCTTTACTTATTTGACAGGTATCGCGTTTCTCTTCTCTCTTGTTGGAAGCAGAGGGGAATGTATGCAGCATGCATGTGGATAGTTCAATTACTTCTAGTTCTTAGCAAAGTGGATTCTATCTTCATCTATGTTCCCGAATATTATTTGGAAACCGTGGTATTGTATATTTCTCATGTCTAATAGCATAGTGATGTCTTGCTGTTGCTTGAAGTTTATTTAGTCTCCTTTTTCTTAATAATTTTTCACCATATTTTGCTAGAAGAGTTACAAATAGACTGTTTTTTGTTTTTGAAGAGTTGTTGAGTGCTCATTCATACAATTCATGGTGGACTTACCTGATAATGACTTTGTGGCATATAGATCCAAGCTTGTATTTTTTGGAAACGATTTACGTCTTCAGTGCAATCATATAATCGAACTCCACTATATTTTGATCTATTATTTCGGTTTATGAAATTTGTATTTGCATTTTTTTTGTTGGAACTCACTAGTTTTCTCCCTGAGTTTTTTCTAATACCTTTCCATCAATTCTGACAGGTTGACTGCTTTCATGTTCTGCGTAAAAGTGACCCTCCATTTGCCCCTGCTGCAATGTTCATTAAGCAAGGACTTGCGTCTTTTGTACGTTATGAACTTCTGTTCGTCTCCTCTATGTTATTCTTTTTTAAATCAAAGGTGCTTCGTACTTTGGAAACAGATGGAAAACAATAGATACGTTTCAGTAGTTGGCTGTGTTAACAGTTGTTTGCTTACCAGTTCCTCTGAAATTGCAAACTGGGAGAACTAATAGCAACCGATTACGAAGTGTAATCATATATTGGTTCGAATGTCATTCTAAAATATGCCGAAACATTTCCCTCAATAACATTTTTTTTTTGTCTACACTTACATGTAACCCTATAATTGAAATCTTTGGCCAAGACTCTCTATTCAAGGATCCACTTTTAGCTACTTTGGTTATTTATATTTAGGGTTTCATTATCAGGTTACTTTTGTTGTTACCCACTTCAATGATCCAAGGATTTTGAGTGCTGAACTGAGGGATCTTCTTCTCCAGTCAATTTCCGTCTTGGTACAGTACAAGGATTTTTTAGCTGCTTTTGAATGCAATGAAGCTGCAACCCAAAGGTTGCCAACAGCTTTATTAGCAGCCTTTGATAATAGATCGTGGATTCCTGTGACCAATATACTTCTGAGGTTATGCAAGGGTTCTGGCTTTGGTTTTCCAAAGCGTGGAGAGTCATCGTCATCATCAGTCATATTTCAGGTTAGAACAAATTTTTTAGTTGTGGCTGTGACATTTTGTCATATTCCTTTTTGCTTCTGGAATTATATTTTACTTGTATTGAATTTGTTTTTTGCATTATGTTCCAATTTAAAAGAAATTGTTGCGGGACGCTTGCATTAGCAATGAAGAATTATTCTCATCTTTCCTCAATCGCTTGTTTAACACTCTCAGCTGGGCCATGACTGAATTTTCTGTTTCAATTCGTGAAATGCAAGAAACTTACAAGGTAATTTCACTTTGTTTTGTAATATTTATCTCGCTTTCTTTTCCTTCACTATTATGCGAAGTTGAAGTGGATGTATCATTTTCAGGTGATGGACTTCCAACAGAGGAAATGTAGTGTTATATTTGACCTCTCCTGCAATCTTGCAAGGGTATTAGAGTTTTGTGCTCGCGAGATGTCTCAATCTTTTTTGTTGGGAACAGATACAAACTTGCGAAGGCTGACTGAATTGATTGTGTTTATACTGAATCATTTAATTTCTTCAGCTGATCCGGAGCTATTTGATCTGTAAGTTTATGTATGAAGTATAACAAATGTTGCTTCTTTCCAGCATGAAGATCCGAGTTGCTATATTTCTATATGTTTTAGTTTGTTACTTCATTGCAACTGTGTAGACTTTTTATGCTGCTGGACAGGCAACAAATTCTTTGATCTTAGTTAATCCACCTTTCACTTTGAAATTGCATCAGTCAACATAAAATGATGTTATTTTTTTCCTTTTTCCGTGAAGAACGGCAATAGGAAATTACATGTGTTCCCTTTTTGCTCTTTCTGGCTAGTACTCAAAAAGAAAATACTAGGTTCTCCTTGTGTTATAACATGTTTATCATATAGCCATAAAATTCTTCCATTGCCCCTCGGTGTTCTCGACATGTTGTAGAAATGTGTATTTATTTATTTTTGTCAGTTATATTATTTATGGAACAGTAATGTATTTATTTATTTATTTTTGTCAAGTATAATATCTATGGAAAAGTGTCGTGGGTCCATTTTTGAAATTATAAAATATTTGGCTTCAAAGCTCCATTCTTACTCCTGCCCTAATCCATTCACATGGTACTTTGCAGAACGCTTAGGCGTCCTGGTCAATTTACTGAGAAGGTTAATAGAGGCATGATTTTAGCACCGCTGGTTGGCATTGTACTGAATTTGTTGGATGCTAGCAGAGAGAGAGACTGTGAGGAGCAGAATGATATTGTTGCAGTATTTGCTAGTATGGACTGTGCTGATACCATTCTCTGTGGGTTTCAGTATCTCATCAACTATGATTGGGTTCGTATTAACTCCCTGATAGTTTTGAGTTTGTTCAAGGTTTTAGATATTTAGCAGTGCAGTCGTTTCATTCCTATTCACTAGTACCTACCACTCATAACTTGGAACAAGGAAAAGAAAATATGAGAAAGCTTAGGAAATCCTTAGGCCCTTCTCCATAATCTAAGATGAGAGAAATGAAAACAAGGTGAATAATGGGGGGAATTTCTCCATGTTATCTTGGCTTTCATATCCATCGCCTGCCATCCTATACATAGTTTTTGAAAATTTATGAAAGCTTCAATTTTATATCATTTCTTTTCCTTTCCTTTTTTGTCATATCCACAATCCAAACGAAACAAGACAGTTGCATTGGGTTCACTTTGCAATTGTAATCTTTAATTTGTAATAATTGGTACTCCTGGGGATCACCGCTTGAGGTTGAAAATTTCCTCATGCTGAACTTTTGTGGACAAGCCATTTGTTGGCTTGGCCATATAAAGAAAAAACTGGATCTAGAACATGTTTAAATCAAGTATATTATATGTGCTTAGATTTTTTTCCATTCATTCCAAGATGACACTTGATTAGTTTTTATTTGTTTGTGTTACATTTTTTATATTTTTACATTGGGTTCAGATATCCATGCTTGATTGGCAAAGTAAGGTTGAGCTCTGCATACTTTGCTCTTCAATGCGAGTTCTGGCGAACCAGTGCCCACTTACATGATTTAAGTGTGTGCTTATGGGCGCATAATTGCCAACTAAAGTAACACCATATTCTCTAGCATGACCAATTCTGTGGGCACGTTTTAAAATTAGAATAGCAAAGGCGTAGGCGATGACAGCAAAAACACTTGTTTGGCATGTTTTGGTTGAGATGTCTACTTGTTTTCAGCAGAAATTCTGAATGATTATTTGTCTGCTATCTTAACTTCTGTATGTGGGACTTGCCAATCTATTACTCATAGTCTTCTTCATCAATTTGCCAGACAGGGTCCTTCAGAGGGGACGATCATCTTGGTAAATTAGCACAACTAGAAAAATTTTCAAGCCTGTTGATCTGTCAGGCAGAATTGCAAGAAGTTCAGAAGAGAGTTTGTCTGGGAGAATCAGACACTGATGATGGCATGTGCTGCATATGTTATGCTTGCGAAGCAAATGCTGAATTTGTACCGTGTTCCCATGTTTCTTGCTATGGTTGCGTATCGAGGCACCTCCTCAATTGCCAAAGATGCTTCTTTTGCAACGCAACAGTCGTAGGAGTTGTTAGGAAGGATGCAAATGCTCCTTGAAGTCTCACTGCAGGGTTTTTTTTTCTCGTTTAGCTGGTCCAAAATTGGCAAGTTTTTTGGACATAGAAATAGTAGTGAATGGGAAAGATATGAGTCGGACAAAAAGCGTAAAATGAAAAATATTATTAGTTATTTAATTTTTTAGATAGAAAATATATATAAATGTATACTAGTTTAGATACTAGTTACTGGTGTAAATGTTGAAGAAACTCGTGGGTTTTTTGGTATGGGGTTATTAATTTTGTAGCCAAGGCTGAGGGCATTATTTTGTAAATATTTGAGGTGCAAATGGAAATAAACCTGAGTTGTGTGTACATCTTTACGCTCATCTCTTTTCATGTTTCCGTACATCTCTTAGAAGGTATAGATTTGATTTTTCCACAATGAAATTAGTTTTGAACATGTACAATAATCTGGTGTGCGTTGATGGCCTCGGAGGCAACAAACACCCCGCAACAGTAAGAGGATTTAAGATTTATTGCCTCCAAGTAAAAGCATCTCCAAGAAACACTAAAGACACGATTTCCATTTTAGAGAGTCTGTGTTTAAAAGTAAGTTCTAAGAAACTATTTTTGTGACTTTTTAAATAGAAATTGCTTTTGGCTGCCAAACTTAGTCTACATTCTTAGCCCATATTTGATCATTAAATTGTAATTCATTTCTCTCTCATTTTTTCAATTACATTCTTTCAATAAAATAATATTATATAATTTTGAAAAATTTTCTTTATTTTTTAATCGCATATTTTTAAAAAATTATTATATCAAAATCAATTTTTTTTTTTCCTCAAATAATGGAGTTCAAACAAGACATAGTGTGTAATGAATTGAAATCTTAGGAGTGAATGGATTAAAGTATGCTTTTACAAAAATAAATCTGAGTTTACATTGCAAGTTTGGTGATAAAGAAGATGAATTACCTTGTAAAAATCATTCCAACACAAATATTGGTGCCAAGAGGGTTAACAGCAAGCAATGATAAAAGAAGAGACGCGACCAATTGAGAGAGGCGTTATGCTATGTGTACATAGTGTTTCCCATAAGATAGCATTTCCATGTACATAGCATTTCCCTTGAGGGAATAGGGGTACTTGAGAGAGAGATGGTGAAATTTCTCCTCAATGGTGTTCTCGTAGATTTGTAATATTATGTTCACGTATGGTGGAGATTGAAATTAGATTAAAATTTTAAATTAAAGTTAATAATTAATTTTAATCATATATTTTATGGGATTTATAATTTTTCAACCACATATTTTATTATTATTTTATTAAAATTTACTAAAAGTCTGATTTTAATTTACATCAAATAGAGGCTATATAAAATGTTTTTATAACCTTTGAGAAAATTATGCTTTTAATTTTTCATTACAAAAAAATAGGTATTATCTTTTTTATACACAAATTAGATTTTTATTTATTTGAAAAATCAAATATATTTTGAGTGTATATTTTTATTTTGTCACGGATCATGATAATTGTGTTAATCTATATCCGACTTTTAATTTTATATTATACTAAATGTGATTCTTATCGTTTCAATATTATTTGGAGTTATTATTCTTTTCTTTCTTCACCGTCATTGTGAAAAGTCATAAAGGTCACATGCATAAACTACAATGATCACAAATGTGTATTACATTACTTTTTGTTTTTCAATATGTAATAAATACTGCAAAATCCTTATCATGCATGAATTTCATATATATTAATTTTCAATTAATTAACATTCATATTAATCTAGACCCAATGAATCGTGATCTACCTAAATCTAGAGTTATTGTGGATGAATTTATTTTTATTCATGTATTTAGGAATTTTTAATGGATGTTTAAATTCTGTTTAAATTCATGTATTAACAATTAATTCTTATGTATCAAATATAGTATAAAAATGTTGCTCATTTGTAATATTTCATTATCACAAAAAAAATCGAATCATTGAAGTTGAGTTTTGTGAGTATAATTTTCTTCTCTTAAATTTGCATCTTAATTTATTTTCTTTAATTTGTTTGAGACTCGTCAAATTCTCCCAACAAATTTGTTACAAATATTACCTTTGGAGTACTTATAAAGCATTTTAAATAACGTACAATACATGTTCAACTCTAATCAGGGAATACAAATGTCAAAAATTTGAATGTCACGTAGGTCACAATTGACATAGTTTTGTGAATAATATAAACAGAACAACAACAACTTTTAACATGAATTTCATATCGTTCACAAAGAACACCAAGTCATAATTATTAAACAATACAAATATACTTTATATTTTAAACAGAAATGATCTAATGATTTGGTGGATACAGATTTTGTGAGGTCCAATCCACCAATGAATGAATGTGCCAACTCATCGCTGTTTAGGATAAAATGAGCACCGGTGCTCATTAGATCATTTCTGTATTTTAAATGCCTCCTTAATGTGACATGGAGAATAGTTATTTTTACATATTGTGACATGTAGAAGGATGGTTGTGATCGAAAAATGTGGGTAGAAAATTATGAATTCGCGATTTATTCTTTCTTAATCTTAAAGATGCTAAAGTAGGGGAGACATTGATAGTAGCCAGATTTTGGGGAATAAATGTGATGAGAGAGGGAAGTTAATTATCCTTTAATAACTAACCATTCAGATCATATTTTTATCTCATATAAAAACTTTATTATCTATTTCATATAAATAAATATTGGATTTTGACATGAATTATGAAATGTTTCTCAAGTTTCGATATTTCTAAAAACGTAATCTTAAAGTATGATAGTTACGGGTTTTTCCAGCAATAAAGTGAAAATTAATGCATGTTCCTCAATGAATACTAAGTCATTGCTGGGTAGGAATTAAAATTTAGATTTTCATCAAAGTCAAAGTCAACAATTAATTTTAATCATATATTTAATATGATCCACAACTTTTCAACTATATATGTCATCGACTTTTATCAAAATCTATTAAAAATTTAATTTTAATCCTCATCAAATAAGAGGTAAATAAGCCCCTTCATGTGTTTATTATGCCCATGATCATTGAAGTTCAATGCAATTACATCAATGGTCGCTGAAGCTATTTTCTTGAATTATTTTGCGAGTACAGAAAAAGGGGGTAGAAATTGTACATGTGCTGCATTGTATGGATGTATTTTTTTTTTTTTTTTTCTTTTTGTGTGTTTTTATCATCTTCGAATGATAATTTGCCTGTAAAAATATCTGTACCTATAGCATTGTTTTCTTAAAGTAATAATCACTCAATTTTTCAACTAATGCAGTAATTATCACTCACAAGCATTAACGTTAAATCCTACCTAGAGCTGCTAAGTGCCAACGTATCACTGAACAATATTATTTATGACGCAAAGTCGGCAAATCTGGAGGACTAGGAATTGTGTATTAAAATAAAGAAAAGGGATAATTGCAACAGCGGTATCAAACATTTCATTTAGTTGCAAACTTTGTCCAAATCTTTAATTTGTGTCACCAACAGTACCAAACATTTTCAAAATGTCGCAGTTGAAGTCTAAATGGGTAGTAGTTGTTAGTATGATCGTTAGTTGGCCAAATAATTGATTTTGACAATAATTTTGACTAATTTTAAAAAGTTGGCACTGCAAAGAAACTTGTCAAGATAATTTACTGTAAGCATGTCAGTCAACGTTGAAAACCCATAAATTTTTTTTGACTTTCAAGATCCATTCCATTGCATCTGTGCGTGCATGCAGAGACAGAGGAGGGTGTTCCATCGACAAATGCGTCATTTTCTTTGCGGAAAAGAGTTCAGATCTTCATCTTCCCAAAATAAATTTTGTTATGTTAACATATTAGGAAAATGAGACAGATTTCCACAATTAAAGTTGAATTTTTTACTCACTTCTTCAAATTCTCACCATTTATCTTCTTTGCAGTAAAGGAAATCAAGCAAGGAGGACTGAACATTATGTTCTTGAGTCTTCGTCTTTATGGGTTTTGTTCATTGCTTATAATGAAGTATAGAAAAGTAAAGCCAACACCAACCAAGCCCATGACCGCCATTTGTGCAGAAAACTACCTTTAATTTGTAAAATTGATTTCAGAAAGTAGAATTCATTCGCTTGGTTGGTGGTGAGTAGATGTGCAATTATTGATTACGGTGGAGGAGATGGTAGTGGTGACGGCGGATGAGATGGTAGTGGTCGTGGTGATGGTTTTGGGGGTGGGAGTGGATATGTGTGGGGTGGATGGATAAGATGATGTTGATTTTTTTGTTTTTAATTTTTAATTATTTGATTCTAGTTATTTTATTATAAAAAATGTACAGCTACCATTTTAACCTTTTAAAATTAATCAAAATTATTGTCAAAGTCAATTATTTGGTCAACTAACGGTCAAACTAACATAAACCATCCATTTGAATTTCAGATGCGACATTTTGAAAATGTTTGGTATCGTGGGTGTCACAAATAAAATGTTTGGTAGCGTGGGTGATAAATTAAATGTTTGGAAAAAGTGTGCAATTAAATGAAATATTTGGTACCGATGTTCCAATTATCCCTAAAGAAAATGTAATGTGGCCTTAATTTTGGTTTGACTAGTCAGCCTAATCTTCTCCCGTTTTTTATAATAAATAATGTGATTTGATTACAAATTGACTTTCAATAGCGCTACATAAAATTTAATATTAATTTAGCAATTATTATCATAAAAAATAATTATAGTAACCATTAACGTAATTATTTAAAAGTTGAGACACCAAGAGTTAGTTACAAAGAGGTTTAACGATTAAGCTATTTGTACAATGTTGGATGACAACATTGTTGACAATGTATGAGTTCATAAAATATTGTTCGTTGGAAAAATAAGTTGTTGTTCAAACTGACTAATGATAATATTCCACGGGACAATGTCAATAAAATTGTTATTCAACATTGTACATCAAGCATGATTGAAACTTAAAGTATGATATAATAATCCTCGTTGCTTTTCAAATAAATGGACAATTCACTTTCACTCTAGTACTAGCCACCTCATTGAAAATAGAGTAATGTCATTTAACCCCACTTAGATTACAATTCCAGGCTAGGTGGCATTGATGGACATGAAATGATAAGTGGAATTAAGAATCTGTCTGGGATAAATTTT